ACCATGCCATTCTATGCCACCCCCAAAACCCCAAAACCCCATGATATTGAATAAATAAAGGATCAGAGATATAGAAATAAACATTTAAAATCAAAATATATTAGATTGTTAAATTTTAAAAATTTTCTTAAAACTAAACAAGTATGGAAAATTACGAAAGACTAGAAGAAATAGGCAAAGGTATCACTCATTATTATATCTAACTACTTTAGGAAGCTATGGTTCAGTTTACAAGATCAGAAGGAAATCAGATAATCAAATCCTAGTATGGAAAGAACTTGACTATGGAAGAATGACTGAAAGAGAAAAATCCCAAGTAGTCTAGGAGGTTAACATTTTAAGTTAGCTAAATCATCCTAACATCGTTAAATACTTTGACAAGTAAGAAAATAACTAGTATAAACTCAAATAATCTAAAAAAACAGTCATCATTCTAAATTTACTTCTATAGAATTGTGGATAAAGAATAAAAGAAAATTTACATAATAATGGAATACTGCGAAAATGGCGATATGGCTTAATTGATCAAAAAGTGCAAGACTGAGCGTGATCATGTAGCAGAGGATGTAGTTTGGAAAATCTTTGTACAAATAATTTTAGCTTTAAAAGAATGCCATAATAGAAAAGAGGGCAAGGTTCTTCACAGAGATTTGAAACCAGGAAATGTCTTTTTTGACATTGGAAATAATGTCAAATTAGGTGATTTTGGACTATCAAGAATTTTGTCCTAAGAATCTGAATATGCTCACACAAATGTTGGAACTCCTTATTATATGTCTCCTGAGTAAATAAATGAGGCCTAATATAATGAAAAAACAGATATTTGGTCATCAGGATGTGTTCTTTATGAAATCATTGCATTGAGGCCTCCTTTTGAAGCTTCGAATCATCTCGCACTTGCTTAAAAAATTATCGGAGGTAAAATTGAAAGAATTCCTGAAAGATACTCAGAGGATCTTTAAAATGTAATTGAATGGATGTTAAGCACTGAGCCTGAAAAGAGACCGTCTGTTAATGAACTATCTGATATTCCAAAAATCAAATTAAGAATGAAGGAAAGAGAAATGAGATAAGAGTACGCTTAGTTAAAATAAACAGACACTGACATAACTAAAAGAATGGAAGAGCTAAAAAAGTGGGAAGATGAAATTACCTTAAGAGAAGATGCTTTAAGAGAGAGGGAGCATAAGGCATAGCAGCTGAAACTCTAAATTTCTTAGAGCAGTGGAGGGTTAGGTGTAATGAAATCTATGGAACTATATTAATCAATGGATAATTAAATGGCTTTTGACAAAATACTTCATAAATACTAAATGGAAAATTCAAATGAATCCTCTAATTTCAGGAAAAATTCTTAGCAGAGTCAAAGCTACTCTAATTAAGGCTAAAATGACTCAATGGATAATAAATATTTTCAAACTACTTCATAATCATCTGTGACTGAAATACTTAAAAAAGCTCGTTAATAATCAGGATCAAATAAAAGACCAGACCACTCGAATAAATAGAGCTCAATATGTGAGTTGAACGATCATAATAAAACAAGGAGAGTTGATTCATAAAACAGACTTTTTGGGGATGTTTCAATAGCATCTTCAATTGATGCAAGTTCTGTTCAAATGATGGGAACAGGAAAGAAACTGCACATCCACTATAGTACAGCAAGTAATAATGGAACTCCAAAGGACATAAAATTCGCCCCGAACGCAACTTTTGATAATACTCTGATTCAAAATAGTATGGATTCATAAAAAATCTCAACATTCTAATTAAGCAGTAAAGTTTAAAATTCATAGCAATAAAATGGTCCAGATAGTTACAGAAGATAATAAGAGTAAAGCGATAATCAAAATCTTACTAGAAATGATTCTTACACAAAAACATAAGATGGATCTCAATAGATAACATCTCTAAGATAAGGCCTTCCTAAAAAAGGCTCTAAAATTTCATCAAGAGATTAGTAATCATCAGCTACTAATATTTTCAAGCAGATAAATGCATAGATCCAAAATGGCTGCCATCCTCGTGTCTAAAGTGCTATTCCAAAGGGAGACTCTAATATTAAATCAACCTAATAACTACCTCCATAATCTGCCACTTCAAATTCTCAGAAAAACTAAACACCTTAATTATAAATTCCTAATAGTTTGGCTGAAAGATTAGCTCTTAAGGACATGGAGTAACCAAATAATGGAAGATCAAGCAATCTTTAGAAAAGACCGTCTAGTTCATCTGGGTGTAATAGCCTAACGAGGATTTCAAGCATGAACTAGAAATAAATACAACTATAATAGTAGCAGTAGTAGTTAATGTAACAGCAGCAACAGTTCCAATATCATATTCAAAACAATGATTAGATGAGCCAATAACTAAACTCTATGAATAATAGCAGCTGTAACACAGCATAAAACTCGTCGCATAAAATCAAGTAATGAATCTATTCATACTATGCTTATTATCTAACAAGATTTATACCAATTTAGTAATGTACTGTGCTGATGATGATTAATTTTATATTAGCGTGAATTAAATTCTCCTTTTAGATTAAATTAATATGTTTCAAATGTCCATCAAATCATACATTCAGGGGTTTTGGGGTTTTGGGGTTTTGGGG